TGTGAATTGTGTATTCTGTGACATTACAAGCCGAAATTGAAAATCATGCTGTTAAATACGGGTATTTTACGGATGGTGCGTTTTGTTGTGATGCTTCAAAACATCAACACCATAGGACTCATAAACAAAGCAAAACCTTTTGTATAATGAATCACGTTTTAATTCATTGCTACATGAAATTGCTATTTTGATGATGCGTTTCTTTTTTGGGAGAGTATATATTTGGATAATTTGAGGATGAGTGGTTGATAGTCACATTTCATGAGAAATTTTTTTTTACAGATTGAGGGATTCACACAGAAATATTTGGTTAAAAGGATTTTTTGTTGTTCAGCAAACGATGGACATATGAGTAAAAGAAGAAATTCGTCACATACAGCTCCTACGTTTTGTTAGCCAAATTCTATTTTGAAATGGTAATATAAGATATGGTTCAGGAATAAGTGCATTTTTATACATTGAATAATAAAATCCTTTTAATGATTGAGTAATACATGAATTCCAAGATTGTACAAACTGATCCAAACTGAAAGCACAGCACATTATTACCCAAGCTACCTGTCAGGCGCTAGAAGGTTATAGTCACATGACTTATTTCGACGGGTTCTCAAATATAAAAATAAATACAGTAACTATGTTACTGATATATTACGAACTTTCTTTTATTATTTTGTTCCGGCCACGGATATTGCAGTGCGTATCACGAACTATCGTTATATCGAACTAAAGTTAGTGGTCCCTTTGACTTCGTTAGAACGGTAATTGACTGTATACAGCATGAATTAAATATGTTCAGCTTTAGGATTCTTAGACGTTCAAAAGTTGACAAAAACATGTAGTTTCACATGAAAACAGAACCTGTAGCAGGTGAAGGTTGAGGAAATATTTAAATATTTTAAATGATAATTGTTCAAAGGCATTGTTACGTTATGAAACAGCAATTCATAACTTACCCATTAAAACAGGCCCCTGGAGCAATATTCAGAAACGTGATAGAATATATAAACTTTGTAATGGTAACGACATTGGCGATGAATTTCATTATTTATTTATTTGTTCTCACTTTATAAATGTAAGAGTTAAATATCTAAAGCCACATTTTCATTCCAAACCAAATTTTCATAAAATGTATACATTATTCAATAACAATACGAAAGGTATTCTTAGAAAACTGTTTATTCTGTAATTATTATCATAAATGTTTTTAAGAATCTTCGGTAAGAATACTCCATCTAAATATTTTTATTATCTTTATGCAACTTGTTTGCAGATAGAGTTGCAATCTGTCTATATATATAATGCATTACTTATTCATCTGTATATATGAAATACTCGACTGCACACACTATGTGAATATATTTAATTGTAACATATACATGTATGTAACCTCATATGCCGCTGTCTGTGGCCTGAGTTGAAATAAAGTTCAGTTCAGCTCAGTTAAAATAAAATGAAAGGGATTAATGCACAAGCTAAATTGTAAAAGCAGTGATGATATGTAGTTAATTTCTCACTGGAAAATAGTCAGTTGTTATAAGGATATGTAGTTGAGTAAAGAGGATTGGTGCATCCACTAAGAAGTTCAGACTGAGACAACGTGGAGAAGTGAGAATGGACATCCGCACAAGTAAACTTCCTTAACACTAAGCATATGTGATATGATGTTATATGATGTTATATGATGTGAATATCATCGTGATCGGAAAATGGACAAATAACAGAGTAAATAAATAACAGACAAATAACAGAAATAAATTCTTTAAAAAAATGTCTTTTTGTCCTTCAACTCTTTCAACTAGAAGAGTTCACTTTTAGATCATAGGGGTGCCACTAGGGTGTCGTCCCACGAGGCCTAAAATTATTCAGGTAGGTAGGTACAGTTCATTAGGCTATGTGGGACTTCATGTCTCACTGGTTTTATGGGATTACGGTGGATTATTGCTGGACAGGTCCATTATTGACCACAGAAGGGGTGAATCATAAGAAACAAAAAAAATCAAATATGATAGTGAAATATTTATTTTAACAGTGATTTGTCACATCTGTATCACTGGTTTTATTGGATAAGGGTGGATTGACCACAGGAATCACAACAACGTATTATCATGGTGAAGTGATTCCATTCTTCTTTTGTCCATGACGTACCCTCCACCCAAGTTGTTGTCACATTAACCGTATGTCCTGCATAGTATGCCAATCTGCCGTCACGAAGGTATCTGAAATTAACTTGTGCATTCGCCATAGCTATGTAGATATGGATATAGCTACAAACATATATACTTATAGCAAGTGTCTTCCTTCTCATGTTAGTTGGAGAAGGAAACTGAATAATATACACTTCTTGTAAATACTCCTCCAGTAATACTAGGTCTAATCTATAGCAAGTTTCGTCCTCCTCATGTTAGTTGGAGAAGGAAACTGAATAATATCCACTTCATGTAAATACTCCTCCAGTAATACTAGGTCTAATCTATATAGCATGTTAGTTGGAGGAGGAAAGTTTCGTCCTCCTCATGTTAGTTGGAGGAGGAAACTGAATAATATCCACTTCATGTAAATACTCCTCCAGTAATACTAGGTCTAATCTATAGCAAGTTTCGTCCTTCTCATGTTAGTGGAGGAGGAAACTGAATAATATCCACTTCATGTAAATACTCCTCCAGTAATACTAGGTCTAATCTATAGCAAGTTTCGTCCTTCCTCATAGTTGGAGGACTGAATAATATCCACTTCTGTAAATACTCCTCCAGTAATACTAGGTCTAATCTATAGCAATCCTCCCATGTTAGTTAAGGGATAAAACTGAATAATATCCACTTCATGTAAATACTCCTCCAGTAATACTAGGGTCTAATCTATAGCAAGTTTCGTCCTTCTCATGTTAGTTGGAGGAGGAAACTGAATAATATCCACTTCATGTAAATACTCCTCCAGTAATACTAGGTCTAATCTATAGCAAGTTTCGTCCTTCTCATGTTAGTTGGAGGAGGAAACTGAATAATATCCACTTCATGTAAATACTCCTCCAGTAATACTAGGTCTAATCTATAGCAAGTTTCGTCCTTCTCATGTTAGTTGGAGGAGGAAACTGAATAATATCCACTTCATGTAAATACTCCTCCAGTAATACTAGGTCTAATCTATAGCAAGTTTCGTCCTCCTCATGTTAGTTGGTTGGAGGAGGAAACTGAATAATATCCACTTCATGTAAATACTCCTCCAGTAATACTAGGTCTAATCTATAGCAAGTTTCGTCCTTCTCATGTTAGTTGGAGGAGGAAACTGAATAATATCCACTTCATGTAAATACTCCACCAGTAATACTAGGTCTAATCTATAGCAAGTTTCGTCCTTCTCATGTTAGTTGGAGAAGGAAACTGAATAATATCCACTTCATGTAAATACTCCACCAGTAATAATAGATCTAATCTCATTAAGATTAACAGTAAGTGCTTTCATCTATCCAACCTTAATGTTTTCACAGTAGACAAGTCTCATTACTAAACTAACCCTAACAGAGTGACCCCCGTCCACTGATCGGTGGCCTCTCCCACTCTTGTTTCACACCCCAAATACCTAATTAATTATGTTATGTGGGCAAACTGTAATTAGGCCTTGTGGGATTTATTAGGTGTGAATTTAAGGCCTCGCGGACTGTAACCGCCACTAGTTTACCACTGCGTAATCATCAGTCAACAGACCATGAAATGTTGTTTTAAGACTGTAGGCGAAATGAGAACATGCCAGGCTCCCGTACAATGATGATGCATGTTATCGTATCTCTACACCATCGGTGCCAATGATGGCGAAATGAGAACATGCCAGGCTCCCGTACAATGATGATGCATGTTATCGTATCTCTACACCATCGGTGCCAATGATGGCGAAATGAGAACATGCCAGGCTCCCGTACAATGTTGATGCATGTTATCGTATCTCTACACCATCGGTGCCAATGATGGCGAAATGAGAACATGCCAGGATCCCGTACAATGTTGATGCATGTTATGGTATCTCTACACCATCGGTGCCAATGATGGCGAAATGAGAACATGCCAGGCTCCCGTACAATGTTGATGCATGTTATGGTATCTCTACACCATCGGTGCCAATGATGGCGAAATGAGAACATGCCAGGCTCCCGTACAATGTTGATGCATGTTATCGTATCTCTACACCATCGGTGCCAATGATGGCGAAATGAGAACATGCCAGGCTCCCGTACAATGATGATGCATGTTATCGTATCTCTACACCATCGGTGCCAATGATGGCGAAATGAGAACATGCCAGGCTCCCGTACAATGTTGATGCATGTTATGGTATCTCTACACCATCGGTGCCAATGATGGCGAAATGAGAACATGCCAGGATCCCGTACAATGTTGATGCATGTTATGGTATCTCTACACCATCGGTGCCAATGATGGCGAAATGAGAACATGCCAGGCTCCCGTACAATGTTGATGCATGTTATCGTATCTCTACACCATCGGTGCCAATGATGGCGAAATGAGAACATGCCAGGCTCCCGTACAATGATGATGCATGTTATCGTATCTCTACACCATCGGTGCCAATGATGGCGAAATGAGAACATGCCAGGCTCCCGTACAATGATGATGCATGTTATCGTATCTCTACACCATCGGTGCCAATGATGGCGAAATGAGAACATGCCAGGCTCCCGTACAATGTTGATGCATGTTATGGTATCTCTACACCATCGGTGCCACTGAAGCCAATAACTCTATGGTCAGGTGCAGACTCGAATATTCACAGACCGCTCTCATATACATGGAATATTGCTGAGTGCAGCGTTAAGAGCAATGATTAAAACATGCCTTGAGCACCATACAAACACACAATTTGTCGATTTCCAACAGAATAATGCATGTGCAAATATAATTAATTTGAACACATAAATGCGCCTTGTTGGGTTTCGTTTCAAAACTGATAAGACTACCGGACACCGTTTGCTGGAGAAATCAGGTTAACGTAGGCTTCTCCCACTCGTTTGTAAAACACTGACAACACTGCCCGCCTCTTGTTACATGAACACATGTCAACTCACCGGAGCTGTGATTTCATACATCGGATATCCTCGCCCGAGAGGAAACGTGCTGCCCGGCGCTCGGCGACTGGGGTGGAGGTTTACTGCTGCTGTTTCGTCTGGCCGACTCAGTAAGTATGTTGTGTATTTACTATGGTATCTAGCAATAGAGAACTAACGTATGGAAACAGTTGTATCAGTAACGGCATCAGATGACGAGCTAGGGTCCTCTCTAACTTGTTGATTGATTGTTGTTTAACGCCGCACTCGGCAATATCCCAGCTATGTGACGGCAGTCTGTAAATGATCGCGTCTGGACCAGATCATCCAGTGATCAAAAACATTAGCATCGTTCTACGCAATTAGAATACGATGACATGTGTCAACTAGGTCAGCGAGCCTGACCCCCGATCTTGTTAGACGCCTCTTACGACAAGCATGGGTTACTGAAGACCAATTCTAACCCGGATTTTCACGAGTTCTATAACACCCGTGTCGAGTTTTTAATGTGTTGATGTGTACGACGTGAGGTAGTTTCTAGTATACAACCGTGGACCTGTACCAAATACAACCGTGGACCTGTACTAAATACAACCGCGGACCTGTACCAACTGCAACGTAGTCGTTAACAGGTACTTGTTTGTGTCATGTCTATCTAACATCAAACATGAGTGTATACTGTATGTTGCCCGACAGTTTGGACAACACATGTCCCGTGAAGATTCTGGTAAAATTGGTCCTCAGCAACGGGTAACCGTATTGTCCCTGTAAAGATCCGTGTCATAACTGGTGTTCAGCAACCCATATTGTCTCTGGATTGTCTGGTCCAAACTCGATTATTTACAGATCGCCGTCATATAGTTGGAATATTGCTCAGTGATACCGTAACTCACTCACTCCATGCCATATCTGGTCTTCATCATCCCATATTGTCTCTTGTGAAGATCCGTGTCATATCTGGTCTTCAGCAACCCATATTGTCTCTTGTAAAGATCCATGTCATATCTGGTCTTCAGCAACCCATATTGTCTCTTGTAAAGATCCGTGTCATATCTGGCCTTCATCATCCCATATTGTCTCTTGTGAAGATCCGTGTCATATCTGGTCTTCATCATCCCATATTGTCTCTTGTGAAGATCCGTGTCATATCTGGTCTTCATCATCCCATATTGTCTCTGGTGAAGATCCGTGTCATATCTGGTCTTCATCATCCCATATTGTCTCTTGTGAAAATCCGTGTCATATCTGGTCTTCAGCAACCCATATTGTCTCTTGTGAAAATCCGTGTCATATCTGGTCTTCAGCAACCCATATCGTCTCTTGTGAAAATCCGTGTCATATCTGGTCTTCAGCAACCCATATTGTCTCTTGTGAAAATCCGTGTCATATCTGGTCATCAGCAACCCATATTGTCCTTGTGAAGATCCATAACGTATGCTGTGTTGCCAAACTGGATTGTTTTAATCACTATACCACAGTTTCTGCATAGCATCAGTCATACTAATCTGTTGATTCCATGTTTCAGTTGATATATCATTTCTCCATAATTTTGTATCAGCTTCACTTGTTTAAATACACGTTTAGAATGGCCGGTGAATGTCTATCCCGGACCCAGCCGAACATTAGCGTGTCGTTATGCTTGACAACAGACACGTCAAAGTACAGTCAACTCCGGTTATAACGAACTCGAAGTGTCGACTACGTTTGGTTAGTTATAACCGTAGCTAGATATACGCATTTCGTCTATAATATACAGCAAACACGTTTAGAATGGCCTGTGAATTTGTTGCCTAGGAGATACTCCAGGAACAATAGCGTGTCGTTATGCTTCAAAACAAACAAATCTTTGCATCGTCATTTTTCACATTCAGCCCCCGTCAATCATGAGAATTGATTCCAAAATCCAGAATCGAAACGATTTGTACAAGTTGAACAATGTTACTACGTTTGATCTGTCATTTCTCTATAATTTTGAGACAGTTACATTTGTTAAAAGCACGTTTAGAAAGGTGAATCTATAGCGCAGGAACACTAATAATAGGTATAAATCAGATAATCACCGTTTGATGTTCAGGGAGGGGATGAAGGGCTGGGCCCTGTTCCTCAAAGCGATCGTAACGCTCGAGTCGTAAGTCTATGTTAAAGTATGGGAGTTACGATCACCTCAGTGCTACGACAGTCGTAAGTCTATGTTAAAGTGTGGGAGTTACGATCACCTCAGTGCTACGACAGTCGTAAGTCTATGTTAAAGTGTGGGAGTTACGATCACCTCAGTGCTACGACAGTCGTAAGTCTATATGTTAAAGTGTGGGAGTTACGATCACCTCAGTGCTACGACAGTCGTAAGTCTATGTTAAAGTATGGGAGTTACGATCACCTCAGTGCTACGACAGTCGTAAGTCTATGTTAAAGTATGGGAGTTACGATCACCTGAGTGCTACGACAGTCGTAAGTCTGTGTTAAAGTATGGGAGTTACGATCACCACAGTGCTACGACAGTCGTAAGTCTATGTTAAAGTGTGGGAGTTACGATCACCTCAGTGTTAAAGTGTGGGAGTTACGATCACCTCAGTGCTACGACAGTCGTAAGTCCATGTTAAAGTGTGGGAGTTACGATCACCTGAGTGCTACGACAGTCGTAAGTCTATGTTAAAGTGTGGGAGTTACGATCACCTCAGTGCTACGACAGTCGTAAGTCTATATGTTAAAGTGTGGGAGTTACGATCACCTCAGTGCTACGACAGTCGTAAGTCTATGTTAAAGTATGGGAGTTACGATCACCTCAGTGCTACGACAGTCGTAAGTCTATGTTAAAGTATGGGAGTTACGATCACCTCAGTGCTACGACAGTCGTAAGTCTGTGTTAAAGTATGGGAGTTACGATCACCACAGTGCTACGACAGTCGTAAGTCTATGTTAAAGTGTGGAGTTACGATCACCTCCAGTGTTAAAGTGTGGGAGTTACGATCACCTCAGTGCTACGACAGTCGTAAGTCCATGTTCAAGTGTGGGAGTTACGATCACCTGAGTGCTACGACAGTCGTAAGTCCATGTTAAAGTGTGGGAGTTACGATCATTTCAGTGCTACGACAGTCGTAAGTCTATGTTAAAGTGTGGGAGTTACGATCACCTCAGTGTTAAAGTGTGGGAGTTACGATCACCTTAGCGCTACGACAGTCGTAAGTCTATCTTAAAGTATGGGAGTTACGATCACCTTAGCACTACGACAGTCGTAAGCCTATGTTAAAGTGTGGGAGTTACGATCACCTCAGTGCTACGACAGTCGTAAGTCTATGTTAAAGTGTAGGAGTTACGATCACCTCAGTGCTACGACAGTCGTAAGTCTATGTTAAAGTCTGGGAGTTACGATCACCTCAGTGTTATGACAGTCGTAAGTCTATGTTAAAGTGTAGGAGTTACGATCACCTCAGTGCTACGACAGTCGTAAGTCTATGTTAAAGTCTGGGAGTTACGATCACCTCAGTGTTATGACAGTCGTAAGTCTATGATAACAACTTTTGCGTTTTCAATGATGGGCTGTGCAGCCTGTGATTTTAGCGGGACGTTAACTGTCCCATGTTAATAATTTACACGTAACCTTTGTATGGAAACATGACCTGGTGTGTGAAACAAGCATGCTCTTATAAACATTTGCCCCAGAACGACAGAGTCGTTTACGGCTTAGATGGCCCAGTAGTCTGAGTACACTGACTGGACAGGGTTACCTCCCTTGGCTGTTTAAGACTGTAACCACAAGCCAGTTTAAGTAAACTTAGGCTCAGTATTATTCGTTACACTGCTATACTGAGTCTAACAAAACCTAGTAGAAGGTCGCGTCAGCTAACCTTTGAACAACCTATGACCGTCCAATCAAACGCGAGACGGCCGAACGGATTTAACCAATCAGACAACGACTACTGGTTAGGGTTCGGCGGGACTTACAAAGCGGTTTTGGGATTTTCTCTTCCCGATCCTGATCGCTGACACTGATCTATCAACAAACGAACATCCGCATAAAACACAGATATTTGACATGCAGAAGGTACGCTTGTGGGTTTCTAAAGACATGGTTACTATTTGCTTATATTTTCGCAAGATGACATCCTTGAATATTGACAAAAACGCTATTTTCAGCGACTGTTTACTCATTGAGTGTATCACTCGGAAGCGATCGTGTGGAAAATAGCATTCGGAATCGTTCGAGTTTTTGAGGTAAAGGTTCAAACGGTATGTGCGAATGTTAACTTTCGCGATTTGGTAAGCTGTGTTCTGATTGGTCAGTCCAAAAGGTTAACTGACGCGACCTTCTACTAGGTTTTGTTAGACTCCAGTATAGCAGTGTAACGAATAATACTGAGCCTATGTTTACTTAGACTGTACCACAAGCGAGGTTTAACCGCTTTGAACAGCACCACCGTATTGATCCAGAAGCAGATTGTGTCTGTGTGAAAGAGTACTGACAAAAGCCCCAAAGATGCAACTGTTTAAAATGAACAAAGCTCTGATGTCATTCACATGAACATATCTGACAAATTTGAAAGTGTTTCCAAATGTCATTCTCAATTCTGAAATTATGCAGATCATGTTGGCCATTAAGCTGTGCTACTTTGTCCTGCGTTAATTCATATAAGCGATATGATAATAGATATAATAGATTTAACAGTTGTTAAAGCGTCCGCCCGACACGCTGAAGACCTGGGCTCGATTCCCCACATAGGTACAATGTGTGAAGCCTAATTCTAATGTCCCCTGCCATGATATTGCTAGAATATTGCTAAAAGCGGTGTGAAACCAAACTCACTCACTATAATTATAGTTTGTGCTTACCTGAAACATCACATCCACACTCAGTGCTTTAGTAAAAGTAGTAAAACTACTGTGGTAGAGAGGTAGCATTGAGAGAAAGAGAGAATGACACTATTGAGGAAGAATGCACGGAACCATTGAGAGAAGAGAGAATGGCACCATTGAGGAAGAATCCACGGAACCATTGAGAGAAAGAGAGAGTGACACCTTTGAGGAAGAATGCACGGAACCATTGAGAGAAAGAGAGAATGACACCATTGAGGAAGAATCCACGGAACCATTGAGAGAAAGAGAGAGTGACACCTTTGAGGGAAGAAATGCACGGAACCATTGAGAGAAAGAGAGAGTGACACCTTTGAGGAAGAATGCACGGAACCATTGAGAGAAAGGGAGAGTGACCCCGGTGAGGAATGATCCACGGAACCATTGAGAGAAAGAGAGAATGACACCATTGAGGAAGAATCCACGGAACCTTTGAGAGAAAGAGAGAGTGACACCTTTGAGGAAGAATGCACGGAACCATTGAGAGAAAGAGAGAATGACACCATTGAGGAAGAATCCACGGAACCATTGAGAGAAAGAGAGAGTGACACCTTTGAGGAAGAATGCTCGGAACCATTGAGAGAAAGAAAGAGTGACACCTTCGAGGAAGAATGCACGGAACCATTGAGAGAAGAGAGAGTGACACCATTGAGGAAGAATGCACGGAACCATTGAGAGAGAGAGAGAATGACACCATTGAGGAAGAATGCACGGAACCATTGAGAGAAAGAGAGAGTGACCCCATTGAGGAAGAATGTATGGAACCATTGAGAGAGAGAGAGAATGACACCATTGAGGAAGAATGCACGGAACCATTGAGAGAAAGAGAGTGACCCCATTGAGGAAGAATGTACGGAACCAATGAGAGAAAGAGAGAATGACACCATTGAGGAAGAATGCACGGAACCATTGAGAGAAAAGAGAGAGTGACCCCATTGAGGAAGAATGTACGGAGCCATTGAGAGAGAAAGAGAATGACACCATTGAGGAAGAATGCACGGAACCATTGAGAGAAAGAGAGTGACACCATTGAGGAAGGATGCACGGAACCATTTAGAGAGAAAGAGAGAATGACACCATTGAGGAAGAATGTACGGAACCATTGAGAGAAAGAGAGAATGACACCATTGAGGAAGAATGCACGGAACCATTGAGAGAAAGAGAGAATGACACCATTGAGGAAGAATGCACGGAACCATTGAGAGAAAGAGAGTGACCCCATTGAGGGAAGAATGTACGGAACCATTGAGAGAAAGAGAGAATGACACCTTTGAGGAAGAATGCACGGAACCATTGAGAGAAAGAGAGAATGACACTATTGAGAGGAAGAATGCACGGAACCATTGAGAGAAAGAGAGAGTGACCTTTGAGGAAGAATGCACGGAACCATTGAGAGAAAGAGAGAGACACCATTGAGGAAGATTGTACGGAACCATTGAGAGAAAGAGAGAATGACACCTTTGAGGGAAGAATGTACGGAACCATTGAGAGAAAAGAGAGTGACCCCATTGAGGAAGAAATGTACGGAACCATTGAGAGAAAGAGAGAATGACACCTTTGAGGAAGAATGTACGGAACCATTGAGAGAGAGAAAGTGACCCCATTGAGGAAGAATGTACGGAACCATTGAGAGAAAGAGAGAATGACACCATTGAGGAAGAAATGTACGGAACCATTGAGAGAAAGAGAGTGACCCCATTGAGGAAGAATGTACGGAACCATTGAGAGAAAGAGAATGACACCCATTGAGGAAGAATGCACGGAACCATTGAGAGAAAGAGAGTGACCCCATTGAGGAAGAATGCACGGAACCATTGAGAGAAAGAGAGTGACCCCATTGAGGAAGAATGTACGGAACCATTGAGAGAAAGAGAGAATGACACCATTGAGGAAGAATGTACGGAACCATTGAGAGAGAAAGAGAGAGTGACCCCATTGAGGAAGAATGTACGGAACCATTGAGAGAAAGAGAGAATGACACCATTGAGGAAGAAATGTACGGAACCATTGAGAGAAAAGAGAGTGACCCATTGAGGAAAGAATGTACGAACCATTGAGAGAAAGAGAGAATGACACCATTGAGGGAAGAATGCACGGAACCATTGGGGAGAAAGAGAGTGACCCCCATTGAGGGAAGAATGTACGGAACCATTGAGAGAAAGACAGAATGACACCTTTAAGGAAGAATGCACGGAACCATTGAGAGAGAGAGAGAGTGACCCCATTGAGGAAGAATGTACGGAACTATTGAGAGAAAGAGAATGACACCATTGAGGAAGAATGTACGGAACCATTGAGAGAAAGAGAGAGTGACACCATTGAGGGAAAATCCACGGAACCATTGAGAGAAAGAGAGTGACCCCATTGAGGAAGAATGTACGGAACCATTGAGAGAAAGAGAGTGACCCCATTGAGGAAGAATGCACGGAACCATTGAGAGAGAAGAGAGTGACCCCATTGAGGAAGGATGTACGGAACCATTGAGAGAAAAGAGAATGACACCATTGAGGAAGAATGTGCGGAACCATTGGGAGAAAGAGAATGACACTATTGAGGAAGAATGCACGCAACCATTGAGAGAAAGGAGAAAGTGACACCATTGGGAAGAATGCACGCAACCATTGAGGAGAAAGTAACTGTGATAACCGAGTTACTGAGTCAGAGTCAAATGCGTCGTAAGTATGAAATCCTGGAAGGGACATTGTCGCGTTCTCGCATTTGTCGCGTTGTCGCCCTCTCAAATACAAGCAAAATGAGGCAAAATTAAGCAGAGCACGACAATGCGACAACGTTTGGACGACAATGCGACAACGCGACATATTTTGACGTTTGGACGACAATGCGACAACGCGACATATTTTGACCTTGAAAATTGTCGCTATGTCGCATCGTCGCCCTTTGGAGGAATAGAAAAATATTATTCAAAAACGCGACATGCGACATCGCGACAATGCGACAAATGGGCGAAATGTCGCATTGTCGCATTGTCGCGCTTTAGTTAAGTTTGCCTCATTTTCCTTGTATTTGAGAGAGGGCGACAACGCGACTAATACGACAATGTCCCTCTCAGTTCCATACGTAAGAGCATTCACAGTTTATACGTTCCCTTATTACCTGTTGCCTTTTTTGGCACATCAAGTATATGTTACTACTGAGTCATAAGCTAACGCATTGCCTGGTGGAGCATGCCAAACATGATTATGACGGTGTCTAAAATCCCATTGTTCATGTTTGTTTTCGAGCTGAACAAAAAACACATGAGATCGATATCCTTTCATGAAGTGATGTCGAGGACTCTGTTGTAATCGTACCTTGATTAGTTTCCTGTATACACAGTCTCACGTTGTATGTACTTCCGGTGTTGACCGCCATTATAACAACCCGTCAAGTAGTGAGGATGCGTTGGAACCGTTGTTTCAGAGTCTCTCTGGGGACAGATATGTTGCCGTTTGTAATTTAGCTGATTGTGACTTTGACCAAGGGAGTTAATGCATTGCACTTGACAGCATTAACAATGCATGTAACGGGAATGTTGAGCGATCGGATAAGTGAGAAAAACATAGGCAGCTGGTCCAGGACTTTCAATAAATTATCAAATCAACACACTTAACTTATATATGTTTTGGACTATTTGTTGCTCAATATCATTATGGTCCACTCTGAAATCTGGGGACGCCACAATAGGTGGATGGGTCACAAGAACTTTCATCCACCAATCAACGTCGAGACTTCGAAATTCTGTATATCTGATTTCACATATCGAAAGCGATGCAAATCAGCCTATTTCAGATACTTCATGCTCCTGTTTTGAAATTTTGAGTCCCTTTCGGGATTCAGACCCACGCCCTCACCTAATCGCCAGCACGCCTAGAACGCTCAGTTGCAGCCACCACGGCTTCCACGAAAAAATGGAAATCGGACAAATGGTAGTCCTGGACTGTGGACTTTGTGTACCCTCTGATAAGTGCTAATTGGCACGTCCCACACGAATGAAACCAGAGAACCAAAAAGCGCTTTTGAGCAGTTTAACAGAACTGGAAATTGGCGCTATATAAATACTCATGCCAATAATGGTTGTCACCCCTCCCCCACTAACCCACACACCTCACACCCCACCACACCCCTCTCCAATTAAAACATTAAAGGGGTGACAACCGATATTGGCATGAGTATATACATTTATTATTTATTATATTAATATGTATTTTAAAATGCCTAAATAATGAACCCTTAGTTAAACGTCTGACCTTCGAAGTGAACATCATGATGACCTTGCCAGTGAGATAAATCACTTTATATTGATGACGTGGTGGTACATCATCAACAATTTTGATTTACCTTTACAGAATCTTCGTGAACAAGGAGCAATAACCGTACGCGGGAGGCTAGTCCGGTGAGTGTAAACATCTTAGATGTCTGTTCGAGAGAAAATGGGCAGAACACTTTTTATTTCCCTTGCTTCAAACTATACGTTTACTCAGAGATAAAGGAGTCATTGTTTACCATGTTTATCCTTCATAGGATTTTAGGACGTGTCCATGTTTTTGTTTGTTTTTTTAAACCGAAACCCTAATATCTTTTGTGGATCACTAATGTTGTGGGGGCTCCTCGTCTTTTAAAATTAATGTAAAAGGCAACTAACTGGATCAGGTGGTCAGGCTCGTTGATATAATCCCAGTTGCGTAGATCGATGTTAATGATGTTGATCACTGGATTGTCTGGTCCAGATTGCCGACATGTAGTGCGGCGTCACACATCAAACAAACAAACAAACAAGCCAGGAATTAATGTTTTAATGTGTATTGACTTCTTTATACATTGTTTCTAAGGGTAACTGGGGTTTGTTTTGACGTTTTTTTCAGACGTTTTGCCATATATGGACCTGACTGATACAATAGCAACTGATACAATCACTATGGCAACAGTCGATGAAAACATCACCTTACACACCAATGTGACAACGCCTATGTATCCAGCAGAATATTACAGGTTAACAGAAATAGTTGACTTTCTTAACACATACTACATTTTGGATTATATTTGCGTTTGGATTTCCCGGAAATACGTTAAGTTTGCTTGTCATCAATAGAATGTCGAAGACAGGATTGACAACGTCGTTATTTTATGCAGCCGTGCTGTCTTCTGTCGACAACATCACCATCATCTTAAAGATCATAGAAAACCAGACCAGACAGATGAAAATGACGATCGATGAAACCGGATGTCAGTTTTGTTTTCTTTGGTCTGACATGCGCAGCATCAGCCAACTGGATTCTGATGGTAATATCAGCAGAACGTTTTACGGCGGTTGTGTTCCCGTTGAAGGTGGTGTTGGTGTGGTCGTTGAAGCGGGCAGTTGTCATCATAGTCGGCGTCGTCGCGTTCCTCTGCTTCATCCACAGCCACATCTTCATCACCGTCACTCATTACCGATATTACACGTGTACAGTCAAAGAACAGTTCCACAAATACCTCATGATCTGGTTCTTCATCAGTGCCTCCGTTTTCGCCTTGATTCCTGCTGGGGTCTTATTTGTATTGAACACAGTCACTGTTCTGATCATGCGCAAATCCACAACAAAACGTAAAGTAATGACATCGGCATATGGCCAAGTTCATCGCATCGTTCGACGTCAGGAACGACATATGACCGTCATGCTCGTCGCTCTGGCCATCGGCTTCCTAGTCCTCAACATACCACGCTGCGTGTACGTCATCACCTTCAACTACGTCTGTGCGGGAGACGATGACGTTATGTGTAATATAAAGAAAATTGTTTTTCGACGTTTTGACGACACAAATCGCGGACTCGAACCATGCCGTCAATTTCTACCTCTACTTAATGGCGGGGAGGAAGTTTCGAGATCATTGCATGAAGGTATTACGATGCCGAAGACCAACATTCTTGCGAATGCCCTCCCAGGCGTCCGAACTCCCCTTCACAGAGTCAAGCTAATGTTGTCATGGGGTATCGTTCACAAATTCATTGTTATATTTATATCACTGTAACTTGACTACGATTCCCTACGCCTATTGCCAGGGACTCACTTTAAATGCAGGCGTAATCTCGTCTCTTAATGTTAGGTTGCACGGTAAATTTCAACCGAAATGGACTGCTATCATGGTGTAGTGGATGGTGCTCCAGCCAGGTGAGAGGAAGGTCGGTGGTTTGATCCCATGTCTTTTCCTTCCTAAGAAGAGATCTAATCAGATGGTACTGTCAAACAGCGCTGTGTCGAAGTTGAGGATGCACACATACTAGCTATCCTAGGATCAACGCAAACGCGAAATGATGACTAAAGACGGATCCATATTTTACTTCGAGACAACCGGGAGTTCGACACGACGGTTATTTGCCTGTTGTTTTCCTCTATGGCGTTCGGGGATGAAATAAGGACTGACGTCAGAGTTTGTCATCCATGTTCATGGCAGTCATAGGTCCGACGTAAGCGTGAAATGATGACTAAGAATGAATACCCATGAATTTGTTTGTTGTCTCACTCAGCAATATTCCAGCTATATGGCAGTCAGTAAATACTCGAGTCTGGACCAGACAATCCAGTGATTAACAGCATGGGCATCGATCTATGCAATTGGGATATGATGACATGTGTCAACCAGAGTCAGCGAGCGTGACTACCCGATCCCGTTAGTCACCTCTAACGACAAGCATGAGTTACTGAAGATCAGTTCTAACCCGGATCTTCACGGGTTTAAAAAGTGCACTACAAAATATGATTTCATGTGTACACTCGTTCATGCCTGCTGTTAGATGTGGTCCAACAAACAGACTTTTATACATCATGATCATTAGATTTTCAGTTCAAAAGTAACGAGTGCACCTTCATCATATTGAATAACACAGTACACAGTTAAACAACAAACAAGTTGAAACAACGTTTCCTATTCTCGCGGTAAATACGTTTTCTGCCGAAATCGCCGATGCGTGACACTTAGCGGTTGTTTACATCACCGACTGGTAACTAGGGAGTGGACAAGTCGGTGAATAATCAAAATCTTGCAGTGTCACGAATATTTGGGGTTTATACCAATTGGACATATCATTACTTTTTCCGCCCTTTCCGGCAGGATGACTCTTACATACACTCAATAACGTTAATTTTAATGGGTGAATAAGAAGTCTCATTTCGTCAATGGCGGATGGCATTGTTTATCACCGGGCTCACGAGTGGTAATTCACCTGATGGATCTGGCAGCTGATAGATGTAGATGTTGAGGGAGAAGGCCCTTCTTAAAACAACAAGCATTCATACGATAAGAATTGTTTATGTTATTTTTCAGCCGATATCCGTAAGTACCGCGAGAATAGGAAACGCCTTCCTTCGTAGTTTAATTGAATGGTACAATCAAACAAATTGGTTACTTAATGTTTAATGGATGAAAGGTCTGAACCAATCAACATTTTCATTGAAAAATCTGCTGCATGAACTTTGTTGTAAACTTACAGGAAATAATTTCCTGTCGCTCGTGTTCATCGTCACCCTCGAACCCTTCCGTTACCTCCCGAGACGACGTGCTATTTCAAGCCAAGCCATGGAGATTCTAAATTTGTGTGGTATATTTATCAAAGTTGTTTTGCTCAAATAGTAATAGTTGATTTGTTGTTGTTGTTTGCTTTGTACGTTTATGTGGATAGTTCAGTAACCATTAGCACATTCTGATATGTGTGTCGGACTTGATCGCCTGACATTGGTCGGGTACCCGGGGTCATAGGTCAATACACAATAGCGCTGCCCACAAAGTGAATCCAAGATGGTGGCTTACTTTGATATTTTCTCAATATATGGCGATTTAGTATCACTTGCAACTCAGTTGTGTCACTGTGGTATATTGTAGATAAAATGAATATTAAATATGTGCAATTATATTGCGCCAGCTTCCATACCCAAGGTGTATGTTCAAAGCGGTAACGTTAGAGAATATAGATATTTGAACCATGTTTCCAAGGTAGGATTTTTTGACACAGGTGCTCGTAATCATCCACGAATTCTGATGGACTTGTCGTAATTTCGCACCTCAGATTGACCGACATGGAGAAACCACCCCATCAAAGATGCCGGTCTTTTCATGATAGAAATACAAAGATGTGGTACGTTTAAAAGCAGAACATTCTGAGAATAAAATTATTCTTACTTACCATCCACATTGTCAATCATTCCTATTTTTTGAAAAAAGGTATTAACAGCGTTGACTTTGACTTTGGTCAATGCTGAAGTACGGACAAAAAGACACACTCTAACTCAAAATCTTTGTGTATTTACACGGGACCCACACTCTGCAATTTTCAAGCTAAATAACGGTGGTCTGTAAAGAGACTTGAATAAATCTAGTGATTAACATCACGAGCATAGATCTAAAGCAGTTCAGCTAGAATGTCATTTATATAACAAGTGAAAGAACTTGACCATCCCGCAAACTCGACATTTATCACCATTCGACACTTTCCTAAAGTGTATTCGGTTTGTCCCGGAATAACACGAGTTGGTCACGAATGGTAAATCGCAGCCAGGAGAAGCGTAAGGGCTGTTAATCAACTCAAACCCGCGTCTTCTACCCGGGGTCCCTCTAACTGTAAAGATAAACAACCGTCACATTCAGTTTTTGTTTGTTTATGTTTTCTTATTGTTTTACTCAGCCGCACTCAGCAATATTACAGCTATATGGCGGCGGTCTGTAAATAATAGAGTCTGGACCAGACAATCCAGTGAGTGAGTTTAGTTTTACGCCGCACTCAGCAATATTCCATCTATATGACGGCGGTCTGTAAATAATAGAGTCTGTACCAGACAATCCAGTGAGTGAGTGAGTGAGTTTAGTTTAAAGCCACACTCAGCAATATTCCATCTATATGACAGCGGTCTGTAAGTAATCGAGTCTGGACCAGACAATCGAATGATCAGCATCATGAACATCCGTCCACGCAATTGGGAACCAATGACATGTGTCCACCACGTCAACGGTCTTGACACCCTATCACGTTAGTCGCCACTTACGACAAGCATGGGTTGCTGGAGACCATTTCTAACCCGGATGTTCACGGGTATGGGTACACATGTTGTATCTCAGTGGTCAAGTGCCATAAAATCTGTATTAGTCTGACTGGCACAACCATGCACGGTGTTGACTTCCGGTTTCGATTTGCGCTCCAGCAAGTTGTCATACACATAGAGAAAGGTATCGCAACAGTCCATCTTTCTCCAGAGTACCAACCTGTTCCCACTAACCATATCAGAGGAACTTATCAAAATCTCAATTTAACTTTACTTGCTGACCCTCAAGGAATAATTACTCGGCAAATCTAAAGACAAGAAGAACGAAAACTGTAGTTTATTCTGAGAAACAAACATTGCAAAACATTGGCGTTTTGTTGAGCGAATCTCTATGGTGTATGGGGACTGTGAGGTAGCCTGGTGGTTAAAGCGTTGGCTCGTCGCGCCGACGACCCGGGTTCGAATCCCCACAAGGTTACAATGTGTGAAACCCATTTCTGGTGTTCCCCGCCGTGATGTTGCTGGAATATTGTTAAAAGCGGCGTAAAACCAAACTCAGTCAGTCAGTCTATGGTGTATGTCGTTAACAAATACGGACATTTCATAATTCCAGCATACAATCCTCAGGAAAGTACATGAGTATCAATAACCGACCATAATGTCGATATCTAGTGTACCTTCCGCCAACTGCAATAACCCCTCGGTCCTCCTCATTGACTGTATCAGAGGTTGAATTTGCGTTCCATTCTTTATGGAGGCTTGTTTCAATATAGCATGATGATTGTACTGGAGAATCTCTGTGGCGTATTCTGCTACCGAGATTGTCGCAGACGTGTTCTATGGTATCAAGATCTGGACCTCCTGGCGGGGCCACGGTACGGCTGCCACCGCCCTGACGTAAGACAGCATTAACTGTACGTGCATGATGTGGTACAGCGATATGCCATTGTCCATACAGATTTTAAGTGATCGTGACAAGGTCAAGTTTATAGCCATGCGAGAGCTCCCCAACC